GTGCGCAGGGCCGGGGGGGAGGGGAGGAGAGGAGGGGCGAAGCGGGGCGGCTGCGGCTCACGACAACAAACAGCGCCGCCGCGGGGCGGGCGGCAGCTGGCGGTGGGCCGGCCACGCGCGGGGCACCACGGGAGCAGGAGTCCGAGGCCCGTCGGCCGTCACCCTCAGACCGCACCTGAAGTGCAGACCCTGCGTCTCGGCCGGACAGGGAAGGCGCAAGGTTCCCTGGGAAATGTAGTCCAGACGCCCGGTTCCTTCCGCCCACAACTAGGGCGCGAGAACTGGGACTACGAGGTCCGCAACAAGCACCCGGAAAGCCAGTTCCTGGTCTCGGGGAGGTGTGGTCCTCGACTCAGACTCCTCCCATTGTTCTAGTCCGAACCAGCGGCGGCCAGCCTGGACTACCATTCCCAGAGTACCGCGGTCTTCCGACCCTGGGAACCCGAGCGACACCGGCAAACGAAGTTAGGGAGTGTGAGAGGCGTGGGCTGGAGAGAACGCACGGCGTCGCTTGGTTAGTCGCGGTTCCAGGTGCAACCCGGTAGCAGCACTGCACGGCGCAGAAGGGAGATGCGAGAGAGCTAGTCTCGCTACCCTTGTGCTCGGGAAGAGGAGGCAGCAGCCGAAACCAGGATCCGAGCCTGCGCTCCTCTCCAGCCTGGGCTGGGCGCATGCAAACTAGAGTCCCCGCGAGGAGATTGCTCCGGGAGGGACTGGTGTCTTGGGGCCCCATCCTCCCTGTGGGTGATGAAGTTCGCCCGGACACCGAGCCTTTGCAGCCGGCTGCCTCCGGGGAATACAGGGAATTCCTGGAAATGAAGTGTCCGGCCCTCTGGTTAGAGAGTGAATGGCCACCAGGGGCCGCTACAGGACCAGGGGCAGGATGGGGGACCCCTCAGCGCGATCGAGTGAAGTCTAGACGGCTTTCTCATCCTTATAGCACAGAAAACTCTTTATTATGGTGATGCAGTTGAATAGTCCCCAGTTAGTCTTAAGTCGCACAGACTTCAAACTTGAGTGTTCTTACTTCTGCAGCCCTCGATCATCCGGAGAGGGAAGGGCTCTTGGCGCCTGTTCTTCAGCCTCCTGCAGTCCAGTTCGCCAGGCCCCCCGAGCGGCGGCGCGGCTGGCTCAGGGACCGAGCCCGCTTGCCCTACATCATTTGACTGGACTTTTGACAAGGCAGAGGAGCTATCAACACCCGGTCAGGTGGTGGAGGAGGAGGTGGGACTCCCGGGAGAGGTCGAGGCTCTCGTGGGCCTCGAGGAAGAGTAGAGGAAGGTGGAGCGTATGGTCCATCCGGGCGGCAGCTGGCTGGGCGAGTGGCCGCGCATGTGCGCCTGCATGGAGGCCAGGCTGGGGCAGCCTGCCCGGCACAGAGGGCAGCGGTAGGGAGCGGCCCCGTGCGTCCTCAGGTGCTTGGTCATGGCGGAGAAGTCCCGGGAGCGCTGAGGACAGAGGCCACAGGAGAAGGGCTTCTCTCCTAACGGGCCAGAGAAGTGGGCGATGGTTGGCCAAGCTAGGGTTAAGTCGAGCGAAGGGGGAGAGGGAGGGGCGGGGAGAGCGGAGTTGAGAAGACAACTTCCCACTGGGCAGGGCGCCTGTACCTGTGTGGACTCGGTAATGCGTCTCCATCTGATGCTTGAGTGAAAACCTCTTTCCACAGACAGAGCAAGAATAGGGCCGAGAGCGAGCAGGAGGGGGAAAGGGAGAGAGCTGGCGAGATGGGCGGCCGGGTGTACCCTCTTGACTCACACAGGTTGCCAGGGCGCCTGTGTGGACGGAGAAGTGAAAAGAAAAAAAAAAAAAAAAAAGGCTTGCCCCGAATCCCAAGGCCGAATAACTACAACATCCGGGCAAGAAATTAGGAACCTCCGTGAGGCTGAGTACTGCTGGCCCTACTTATCTGCGTGCCCTTGCCCAGGCTCTTCTGTCTCCCACTGGCTGAGTTGTGAAGGACCCTGGGGGAGGGATCCTGGAGGGAGCCGAGTGAGGTAGGGGCCCTGCTCAAGGGCTGGCCTCCTGGAACCCATGCCCTGGGCAGAAGCTGAGAAACAATGAGGGGCTTACCTGGGGTAGGGCTGGAGGAGGCCAACTGGTTCTGACTCCAGAGCCCTTTGGGGTGGTTGAAGGCCAGTGGGATCCTGGGAGTAGGGTGGGGAAGAATTACAGCCTTGGCAAAGCCTGAGAACCTGACCAACACTGGCCTCCCTGTGGTGGAAACATCGTCTCTCACCCCCAGCTCAGGAAGTGTACCCTAGAGATAAGAGATGCTGCGCCCTTTCACCCATCACTGCTGCCTGTCCTGGACCACTCCCTCCCAATGGCAGTCTGCTAGGTCCTTCACTCACCTCTGGTCCTGAGGCCAGACCTCCCAGGCTGCAGTGATGGGGGTGCTGTGGGAGAAGGGGGTGCCATATCTGGGCGGCCACAACAGGATGCTCCACAGGGCAGGTTGGCCTTCCCCCATCCAAGGGGCCTCAGCCCACCAGGGCCTGGGAATGAGGCTAGTTTGGAGGTAACCTGCTGTGGGGAGGGGACCAGGGAACCTCCACAGACTTTCCTCAGAGCCCTTGGGGCTCTCTATACCTTGTATGACCTCTCCTTGCTTCCCTTCTGCTCTCTTGAGGTCAACAGGAGCTGGGCTGAGTTTCTCCTCTAACCTCATCTTCCTCCTTACCCCTGTAATCCCAGGACTCTCTTCATGTAGCCTCTCCTGTTCCCTCCCACTAGTTCTGAAGTCCTTCTTGGGCATCTTCTCTCCAAGGCTCCCCAGTCCTCTCTCAGAACCCCTCATAGGTTTTTCTAGCTCTTGATGCTTCTTTAGAATTGAGTGCAGCTCAGCGTCATCCTTGTCCCTTCGAGCCCTCCGGCATGCCTCTTCCAGGGCCTGCACCCCCAAGACTCTGGCAGCCTCTTCTAGGGTCCCCAGTTCCTCAGGCTGCAGCTCTACACATTCTCCATACACAAAGGTCAGAAGCTGGGCAAAGGTAGAAGGGCTTATGCCTTCTACCAGAGCCCACCGGCCCCTGCAGCCCAGCTGCTGGCTGGCACCAGCTAGCACCAGACTGTGGGCAGGGAACTCTTGGCCCCCTACAGTGATCAGAGTATCACACAGTGCTGGCCGGAGCCTGGCTGCTAACTGTACCAAGCGATCAGAGCCATAGGGGCTGATTAGTCTTGTGGGAGTCAGGGGCATTGCTCCTTGCCAGGCTACCAGTTTCAGAGGCTCTGAGCAAAAGGCCAAGGTCGAGGGTTCATGGCACAATGGGGAGGAAGAAACCACATATTCTCCAGCCTGGAGAGAGTGGGAGAAAGAGTGGGTTGCCGGGTCTAGACTGGAGCTGTCGATCCTGAATGAAGCAAATAAACTAACCCAAGAGCCAGCTGTAGGGTGTGGTAGTGAGACAAGGCAAATTTGGTGAAATTCAGGACTTAGAGCAAGAGCCAGGCGGTTTAACAAAGTCTCAAGGAGTGGGTTTAAGACAGTCTAGGCAGTGACCTGGGTCTTAAAGGATGGTTCTGCTTCTCCAGGTCCTTTGGCAGAGAAAGACCTCTGAGCAGGCTGGGCTTTCCTCATTCCACACAAAACCTGGTATTTAAGAATGGAGCAAGCTTCATGGGAGGGCTTAAAAAGAAGCTAGTGGGTCCTCCCCCAACGTGGAGCCCGGGCAGACAACAGGCCAGGTCACGGCAGGAGAGCAGACTCTAGGGCATCACTCCATCATCTCTTTGAAACTGAAGCTTCTAGAACACCTCCTCAGAGAAGAAACTGGAAGAGACCAAAGATTCCCATCCAATGAGTGGAGAAAGCAAAAGTCCAAGAGAGGAGTTTTAGAGAAGGCTTTGACGCCTGAGGACACAGGAAAAAGGAAACAGAGACTGGAGAAGGGGAGGCTTTGTGCTCTCAAAATGAGAATAAAGAGGTGGTTTGATTTTGTTTTCCATAAGCCGAAAAGTGAAGCCTATTAAGAGCTGACAACCACCACATAGGCTCCCCAGAAAACTGGGGACCAGTATATAGAGAGAAATAGCCAAGTGTCTTGGCACCTTTCAGGCCTAGTCCCCAGTGCAGACCTTCCCTAAGTAAGGACACCTTAAGGAGGGAGAATTATTACTTGACCACTTTGGGGGTGACAGATACAGGTTGGTAAGAATGGACAGAAAGAGGGGAATAAAGGAAGAAAGCCTCAGCTGGGGGGAGGCAGTCACTCACCTCGAGCTGCCTCCTGGCACCGCATGCTCTATAGTGCTGTTGGGCTCCTGCTGCCCCCTCAAGCTAGCCCCGCCCCTGACTTCAGTCCTCCATTGGATGTCCCAAGTATCAGTCTGCCACAGTCCCCCAAGGGGGTGTGGCTATATACCCCTGGCTCTGCTCAAGGCCTACAGGGGAGACTGCCCCTCTACTTTAAGAACCCAGACCGCTTCCTCACCCTGTCTCTGCTTCATTTATGAACTCCTCTAGTTGAAGAAGTGAATCTGTGGTAACAAAGACTTTGGAATAACCAGAGTTCTGAGTCTCATCTCTGCCCTATTGAGTCACCTTGGCCAAGCCATCTCTGAGCCCCAGTCACTTCATTCATCAAATAGCAATAATCTGGTTTGGGAGGGGGGCTAAAGATGAAGTGGGCACGCATGTGAAAGTGGTTTTTAGGTACAGCACATTCAAATGGTCTGAGTTCTGTTTCTCAGAGGTGACTGTACAGGGGGAGTAGCTGGAACTGTTTCTAATGCTGCAGAAGTATAAGAGGACAGAAATGTGATATTAAGTGTGCCTCCTTTATGAGGCTGACCCTTGTCATCTGGGCCACAGCAAGGACTGTGTGTGTGTATGTGTGTGTGACTCAGATCTTCCCAGCAAACACTAAAGGGGGCAACCCCAGGAAGCCTGTGGTGGTCTTTGGAGAGAACGTCTCCTTTTCCTGGGCTGATGACAAATGACATTTCTCTGAAATTAAGACCCAGGTTCTCTCTCACTTTCTGTGCAAAGGGTCAAGGTCCCTGGAGGTTTCCCCCTCTTTTCACAGTTCAGCACTTTTTTTTTTTCTTTCTTCCTTTTTTCAGACATTGTCTCCCTGGGTAGCCCAGGATAGGGTCAAGGTCCCTGGAGGTTTCCCCCTCTTTTCACAGTTCAGCACTTTTTTTTTTCTTTCTTCCTTTTTTCAGACATTGTCTCCCTGGGTAGCCCAGGATGGCCTCAAAATATCCATTAACCTTCCTCAGCCAATGCCACCACACTCAGCTTCAGCACTCTTAAATTGAGGATGGAATAAAGCCTTCAAGTCTCATTTCTTTATCCTTTTTCTTTTATCTTTTACTGTTCTTGCAATCTGACCCTACAGCACATTTTTCATTCATTTAACAAAATGTGGATTGTGCCTGGCCTGCCATATATATGCAATAAATAATTAGAAGATAAGCAAGTCGGGCATTAATAGGTTGCTCTAGTGACAAGATGCAGTCTGGTTCTCCATAGGTTTCCCCTAGATCCTGGTAACCCTCTAGACCCAAATTCCTGGCTCTAAGGTCCCCTTTCTGTTTGGCTCCAGGACTCCAAAATGTTCAGGCCGGCTTCCTACTGTCTCCCAGCAGACCTAAGATGCCTTCCCTCTCATTCTAGCTTGGGCTAGCTCAGGCAGGTGTCAACCCTTCCTAGATCAGACAGGGTGTGCCGGTGGGTTAGGCTGCTGGTGGGGGCAATGGGGTGGGGATAGGGGAAGATGAGTCAGAGCGAAAGGGAAAATGCAAATGGCAAGCTGTGTTCCTCTACTCCTCTGAACGTTAAATATTTCCATTTCTGAGCTTTCTAACTCCTCACATCACCACACCCAGGGACACATTAGATACCCTCATGTAGAAGACACATGAACCTTCAATCCTGATAGGTTTGCAAACAGAAATATCCTTCCTCCAACACAGATACACAATTCTTAAAGACAAGAAGTGGGGGAAAGCCACAATTGTAGAAAGAAGGTACTGGGGTCTGAAAATGACCTCATCACCCAGTGGAGGGGCAGCCCCTCCCCTCCTGCCCACCATCATGTGCTGGTGACTCAGCTGCCCCACTAGTGTGGTTTGCCCACTGATGACCAAGAGGTGGAGACTACTCAAAAGGATTGCACCTCTACAAGCCAAAGGCAGTTGACAGGGGATAACATTGGGCTTTCAGGGGACTAAGAGGAGAGGGAGGTGAGGGGGCTCCCCCACTGAGTAAAGAAAAGCCCCCTAAGAATGGGAAACCCCATCTTGCCTCCCCCTTGGTGTCTACCCATGGTAAGGATATCCCCCTAGAGAGTGCTTCCTTAGAGGTATGTATTCCCAGGGCCCCTCTGCACCTGAGCCCTGATGCTGGAGACACCCTAGGCCCTATGTGGTCTCTTCCTACAGCTGTGGCAGGGCAATCTAAGACATTCCACACTGAGCAATGATGACAGAAACAGATCAAACAGCACTTTGCCTTGGAAGGGTAGGGACACTACTGTTAGATCACAGACCCTCTAGCTGCCCTTCCCTCTCTCCCAGAAATTAGGCCACCCCTGCCACCTGACCCCCAGCCCCGCACCCCCGGCAGCTCACTGTCTGTCTGAGATAAGAAGCCCTGCTGTGCTGTAGCATGCAGTCCCTCTCCCTTGCAACTGCAAGTTGTTTCTGGTACTATCTAGTACCTGGCTCTGTGCAGTGCCAGGAGACAACATAGACCATGCCAGACTAAACCACATGCTTTTCGAGGCCCAATCACACATCCCACATGCACTCCTAATAAAACCCATTTTTAAGGGTAATTTGGTGCCACTCCTTTCCCAAACCAATCAACCTGCAGCATCTGAGCTGCTGATTTCTGACTTATAACTTAACTTACTGTTCTTAGAATGTTTCCTTTCTCTAAGAAAACTTGCACCAGTAATTTCAGCACGCAGGAGGCTGAGGCAGGAGGATCATGAGTTTGAAGTCAGCATGGGTTACATAATGAGACCCTGTCTCAAGCACAAAACTAAAAATTCTCCCCACCTTCAGAGTAGGGATCATCTGCAGTGTTCCCTCAGGGGTAGAGTTAGGAAATCACAGGTTAGGGGAAAGCCTGTGACCAGGCAGAGGATAGAATAGACTGGAAGAGAAATATGTGGGAAAAGGCTACTGCTTCTCTGGTTTTTGTTACTGTTTTGGATCTGTTTGTTTTTCTTGAGACAGGGTGTCACTATGGGGTTCTGGCTTGCCAGGAACTCACTATGTAGACCAGGCTTGCCTGGAACTCACAGAGATTCACCACCTCTGCCTCCTGAGTGCTAAGATTAAAGGCATGTACCATCACATCCAGTTTTTTGTTTTGGGTTTGTTTTTTAGACAAGTCTTATTTTATACAGGCTGACCTGGTACTCACTCTGTTGCAGGTTGACTTCAAACTCATAACAGTCCTCTGAAGTGCTGGGATTATAGGCATGAGCCAACTCAGTCAGTCTCTCTCTCTCTCTCTCTCTCTCTCTCTCTCTCTCTCTCTCTCTCAGTGTTTTGAGACCTGTATCCTGAGTTAGCCTGGAACTTGCTATATAGATCAGGCTGGCCTCAATCTCCCAGAGATCTCCACCTGTTTCTGCCTCCCCAGTGCTAGGATTTAAGGTGTGCACCACCATGCCTGGTTTCTCTCTGTGTTCTTAAGAAAAAAAAAAGGCTTTATTTGTTTTATGTTTATGAGTGTTTTGCCTGCTTGGATGTAAGTGTACCACGTTCGTGCAATGCCCGCAGAGACCAGAAGAAGATGTTGGATCCCCTGTAACTGGAATTACAGACAGTTGTTAGCCACCATATGGGTGCTAGGAATCGAACCTAGGTCCTCTGGAAGAACAGCAACTGTTGTTAACTGCTGAGTAATCTCTCCAGCAACCCCCTCTGTTCTTTTTGATACCCATATTACTGAATCGAATTTGAGGTCTAACTTTTTTTTATTCCTACCAATAGGATTAACCAATGAAACAATAAAGGAAAAACGTATGAGGCACTGAATGTGCTGCCTAAATGCAAAACCAGCTTCCAGAAATCTTTATATCACAAAGCAAAACCCAGATCAGTACAACAACATCACTATAGTAATACAAGTATCGATTCTATTTAAATATCATAATTAAAGATAGACCGTCAGAATATACCAGGGATGATTATCTGTTTTATGAAAAATGTTCAGTCTTTGTCTCACCTTTCTTTTTTGAGAAAGGATTTCCTTGTGTAGCCCAGGCTGACCTTGAACTCCCTCTCAAACCTTTTGCCTCAGCCCCCAAGTGCTGTGAGTCCATGAACCACCACACCTAACTCTGTCTCATATATTTTTAAATATCACGCCCATTCCTCAAACCAAGTTGAACAAGACTCAATTTGGAAC